CATCCTGTGCAAGCTATAGTTTCTTAAAATCTATACTTTTCTAGCTTCCTTCAAAATTTATTTGAAAAGTGCTCTTTCTAATCGCATATGAAACAGCACTAACTTTTCAAGAATTGCTAAGAACATTCCTGATAATTTTATATAAATGCTGCTGTACAAATATACCATTTAAAATATATATAAACCACGTGGGATCCATGGAAATTCACTTACCCATTTCATGCAGATTTTAGATTTCACTCAGCAACACCCGACAGCTATCCGTTTTGTAACAATTATAAGCTTCAGGTAAATGTGTTGAGTCAGATTATTGGTTATCCAAGTTTCTTTACGATTAGAAAAAGAACATATGCGTCATCGTCATACGTCATACGTCATATGCGTCATATAGATCAGGTCTAAAGTCTACAGTTAATTAACCACGAACATTTCGCTGATGCAGCACACAGCACACAAATTTAATGTGCAATACGAATTAAATTTGCAACGCACAGTTTGTATCAGTTGACTTACTAGCAAATTAGTTTCCACTTTGGGAGATAATTATTTGAAGAATTTCTTAGTTTGTGTTTTTAGATATCTTTTCCTTACTGCACAATTCATACATCGCTGCGCTTTGTTTTTCCTTAAATTATTTTTATGTCTTCAAATTTTGCTTCATTATTATAGAGTATCATTTTGAATTTTCCATCTAGAACAAATTCAATTTTAAATATTGTTCTACAGCGGAAAAGGTATTGTGGATTCATTTCTAGCTCAGTGACGGTAGTTCATCAAAAAGAATCAATCGCAAAATAATGAATTCGGGTAACCATCTGCTGCTTCCATAATCTAATCTCCTATATCTGATTAAGAAGGGTGTGGTGAAGCAAAAATTCATTGCATTTCCGTATTAAAAGGTATGCAATTATTTTAGATGAAAATAGAACTGATAGCTGTATTCTGCATAATGTTAACTATACTAAGTTTTTACGAAATTTAGTATATCAAAGAATTTATCTGCCCACATCATCAACCTGTATCAGATAAACATATTCTGAATGATTTAACCACATATTTTAGACAAAACGACTAATTTTCATCTGAATTTAATTGCTGAAAGGACTAATGGCCCTTCCCCTAAGCTTGTATTTTAGTTTTTTTTCTTTTTCTTAGTACTTTTTCTTAAGATAAATTCATTTTTACAGATTATTACCTGAATAGTTTTGCAAATAATGGTTATTCGGAACCCAGTATGGAATATTGTTGTCTTTCTTCTTTTCGGTATATAACAGTTGGAGGTGGATATTGACATATGGAGAATGAAGATCTTATAAAACCATTATTTGAAATGGTTGGTGTTGTGATTTTTTCCCCTTTTTTGTAGACACAGTAGGATATTGATGATAAACATTTACTGATAAACGGGGGAAGTTATAAGGGAGTTATCGTAGAACACCGAACGGAGAATTGATCACCAGGTTGTTGAATTGACATGAATCGAAAGGGACTGCTGCCTGATGGATTAAGTATATGACTACTGAGTGAAAAATTGAATCCTGGATGAGAGTTTCTCCATTTATATAGTGGACGTTTATTTACAACATTGAGCCACTGACCTTTGTGTAGTTAAAGTTTCGTTATAACAGTCCGGTAATTGCAGATATGCCGACATTCACATATAAGATTAGACCAGAAGATAAGAGTTGGATAAATGACTGGTCCCATTGGGTTATCGAAGCATTTATATTATTATTTTCTAAGCGTAATAAATCATTTATTTAACAAATATTC